TATGTTCCACGACTTAATTCCTTATGAACAACCATTACGTAATGGTGATTTAATTACTTGCTTATTCATTCTTACTCTTCTCAAAGTCTTCAATGTATTGTAGCATAATTTACAGACTGGTGTATAGCATTATCACAAGGTACTCAGTTACTTGGATGACACAATAAATGAAAAGTTAGAGCTCTACAAAACCCCTTGCCAGACTGATACTGTAATTTCTGTAAGTGCAATTGACAACTACATCAGTATGAGTGCAAGAGAATAAAAGTTACTTTGCTATTAAAAGCACTGACACCTGAAACTAAATCACATTACAGCTTTGTTAAACAGGAATTACAAGTTACAAACAGAGCTTTAACTGCCTGGATTTGACACTGATTTTGGTTTCTGCAATTCAGTAAAACATTTTCAGAGATATCTTCTCCCTCACTGATATCACATATTCGAAGATTTGAAATTGCCACCCACTCAGCACATTTGTAAGACAGCATATACACTTAAACAGCATTCAGATTCTCTCAGAAGTACTGGTAACAGTAATATATAGCCAACAAAAAGTAAACCAAAATAAACATCTCGTATTTCATCCTCAAGCTTCTCACACTCTGAACATATTGCAAAGTTCAATGAAATTCACTGAAACTAACAACACATCAGCAGCCTCCCTACCCATCAAGCGTGTCACGTTTAGGACCTCACCATCACCTCTCCAATTTCAAGAGCATGAAATCTGCTACTTATGCCTTTTTCTACTACCAGCATGCTGCATACAACAACAAGCTCTTCCCCTCAGGTGCTGTTTTATAAAGCATTAATAAAAATAATAAAGAAATCAAGGCACTGAAAGATGATGTACGTTGCAGAGGATCACAAGAGAAAGCAGGAAGCAAATAGTATGTTTCTTAGCCCTTGCTGCTGGGACAGGCACATTGGAACAGTGTCAACTGGGAAACAACTCCCAGTCTCTGCTAACAGCAACTGCCATCTTCACAAAGGCATACCCACAGCAAGGAGAAACAGTTAACAAGCAAGCAGCTCTTTAAACTTGTGTAAAATCTCACATAGAGCCTGTTTTCACAGGCTGAGTCTTACAAACTACCACCAACATCCAGTTAAAACAGCACGTTCTCTGAAGCCTGCTCATGACTAGTATAAATGTAAAAACACACACAGTCTTGCAGCTGTGCCATTCAAGTACATTTCTAAGTCATCTCTCAAGCTCCTTACCTTTATCTGTAGCTGCAGAAACCTCAGACAGTTTTTTGGGAACTGCTATGTTCACAAATCTGTCCATCTGTATGTAAAATGTTTTCTTTTTTTCCTCTTCAAAGCCCGAGAGAGCAGATGAAATAAAGCTACATGTATCCAACACAGAAGGTGTGCTTACCCCTGGATCTAAGAGTAAAAAAGTCCTCTCAGACCACAGGAAGAAACAAAGCTGTCACTTGACTGGTGTATACATATGTGTGTGTGTGTGCCTTGGGTCATATGACTTTTGACTCACCTGAGAGCTCAGAGGCTTTGCCTGATAGTCAGCTTCTTCCTGTGCCTGAGGCCAGAATTTCCACACAAAAGCCTATTTGCTAATTAAATCTACTGTTTCATTACATTTTCCCCCAACATAATCATGCCTTAACTAGCAGTGGCTCTGCACAACTTAATCCCCCCTCCCCACAGATAAGAAGAAATTTAAACATAGGATAAATGAAAATCCACATGAGGAAAACCAAGGATTATTTTATTCAACAGCAAGCAAAACAGATATCATGGTACACAACACTGCTGCTGTTTAAAAGCATTCAACAGTGAGCTATTAATTTAACACAAGACTTCATGGAGTTTAATTATAACACATGACAAATTTAAACAGCATCAAACAAAAACAAAGACGTGCACAACCATCTGAAGTCAGCTGGAAAAAAAGCATTATATATTTGTTTTTCCTCTGACACTCATATATTGCATCTTATATATCTCTGATAGGTACTAACCTGCAATTATAAAACCTTCTGAGCTGCTAGAAATACTGTCATCCTAGTATTTTCATAACTGCACCCTCCTTGAACCAATATTAAGGAAATTTTTATTTGGCCATCTCATAAACCAACTCTTGCTTGTATTTACAGGAGCTACACTCCTTAGAAAGCTCCATTCCCATGCAGTGGAAGAGGAGGAGCCAACTAAAATGAATTCACAATGAATTCTTTCATGCTTTATGAACAAACAGAAGTTTGCCTACACTTTTGTCCACCCAGCAGATAACCCAGGCAGTTTCTCCCATCAGCACATTACTCACATTCTGCCCCATCTCTGACACAGCAGCCCTTCACAGAGTGCACTACCACACACAGCAAGAACTAGGATCAGCAGCAATGAGATGGGGATTATTTCCAACAGTGTCACCACAACATTGCCTAAGTTCCTTAGCTAATATACGAGTGGTGGCTGATTCTATAAAAAGAAGGTGACTCACCTTCTCTTGCCAAGTGCTGTGAGATCACTTAATGAAATATAAGCATTACTAATTGCCACAGGTGTGAGGAGATGCTGCATACGCCCTGAGAAGATGCTGGCAACTCACAAGCAAATCATCCCTTCACAATGTGCCTACCTCAGAGCCTCCAGAACTCAGTCACAGGTTCCTCTCATCTTGCTAATTAACTGCAAAACTCTTCTCCGCATGTCTCTAATGTACTGATGTTTGCTTTTGGTCCTCCTTCATAGTGATCTTATTGATCTCTTCTATCCTTGATGGTTCACTTCCAAACCATACCACCTCACAAATGACAAATTTTAACAGTTCTGTCAGCCCAGCAACCTTTATTTTACGAACACTTATAAGGACTGTCAAGTAGTGAGTCCTTTTCAACGAAAGGTTTAACGCGCTGCCCCCACCAAAGTTTGTAACTTCACCATTCCCCTAACGATGCTACAAGTCACAATGCACTCTGAGGTGATCCACCCAGAAATACAACAGGTGAAGATTCACAGTAACTCTGAACTTTGAGATTCGTCTTCCCTCACTCCAAAAGACCAACAGGTCCCTACTAAAGGACAGCTCAAGGCTGAGAGGCTTCTCCATAGAATAACCCAAGTTGGAACAGACTCTTAAAGATCACCGAGTCAAACTCCTGGCTCCACACAGCACCACCCAAAATCAGATTGTATGCCTGATATAAAGCAGCCCTCTTCAAGATCAAAATTCCACCAAATCATCCTGCATCTAATTAAATACAAGCTGCCTCACTTCCTACAACAGCATCTGCACCACCCATATTAGCACTCATCACCTTCCCCTTTGATCTTGACCCTGCCTTGACCCCTCCATTTCAAAACACAGATAGAACTCTGCTTCTCAAGTCCTGCTTCTTTTTCCCCACAGGGTCATAGAATCATTAAGGTTAGAAAAGAACACTAAGATACCCACGAAATCATATCCCTCAGTGCCACATCTCCATGGTTCTTGAATGTCTCCTGAGACAGTAACTTCTGGGCAGCCTGTACCAATGCATTACTACAACTTCTGAGAAGAAATTTCTCCAAATATCCAGCCTGACCCTTCCCTGGCACAACTCAAAGCCATTCCCTCTAGCTCCATCACTGTTAGTTGGGAAAAGAGTTCTTTGCTCCATCCTTTCAGACAGTTGTAAAGAGCAATAAGCTCTCCCCTGAGCCTCTGCTTCTCCAGACTGAATAACCCCAGTTCCCACCGCCACTCCCCTTAAGACCCGTACTCCAGACCCTTCACAGCTTTACTGCCCTTCTCTGAATGTGCTCCTGGGCCTCAGGGTCGTTCTTGGAGAAAGGAGCCCAAAACTGCACAGTCCCCCATCCTACCTCAGCAGTGAGCCCTTCTTTCTCCCCACCCTTCCTCCCACAGCTCGCTCCCTTCTCCTACCTAACTGCCACCTCTAAGGCTCACTATTCTCTTCCTTACCCCCAGCTAGACCTCTCCACACCCACAAAAATACACTTCCCTCTCTTTCTCATCCCTTTTCCCCACTATGAAAAAAAGCCTCCCCCTCTCCTTACCCTAAATGTAACATAGCCACCTGCTGACCCAAAAACAACACAGCAGACAGAGGTTAGCACAGCATGATCTTAAAGGTCCCCTCATACCCAAGGCCTCCTTTGAGTTAGCGAATAGATGACACCCCTTTCTTTTTATACAGACCTAAGAGAAGACAAAAATCGTTTTATGTCCAACAACTCCATGCAAAGCTCCACTACAACCCTCATCTGCCCTCCTGATGCGGCTCTACGGCAAACCCCTTCAGCTCCCCTCGGCCACAGACATCTTCTCCGTGAGTTCTAACCCTACCCAAGCAGGTCAGACCCCCACTCCGCTCCTCCACCCTTTCCCACTCCAACCCCCGGCTAAACACCCCTCACCTCCCCGCCTCCTCCATCCCCGCGCAACCCCGGCCCGGCCTGCACTCACCTCGCAGCAGCGCAGCCCGCAGCGACGTTCTGCGCATGCGCCCGCCGCCCGCTTCTATTGGCCGAGCCGAGTGCCGCTGCGCACCCCTTCTCCTGCTCCCCCCCGACCCCTCCCCCCCGGCGCGGAGGTTCCGGGAGCGGCTGAGAAGATCCGTTCCTCCCTTCGCCTCTCGCCCCGCGGGGGCCGGGGGTGAGTATCAGCCTCTCGGTATCCACTCCGCTCTCCCCTCTCCTATCTGCCGCGTGGACAAGCCGTGAGCACCGCGGGGGACGAAGTGTGCGTCGTCCTATGGCGTCCGGGTGGTGCTTGGGGGGAGGGGGGGGAGGGCGAGTGCAGAATGGCGGCGCCTTCTCGCCGGCGGCGCCGTGCTGCCTTCAGAGCCCGCTCTCTTCTGAAGGCTTTCCCCGTGTTGTGGCCCCTCTCCTCTGTGCTCATCCGCCTTCCTCTTTTTTTATTAAACCTTTGTAGGTCGTTTGTGTATGTGTGTGTTTGTTTTGATCGATGTTTTGTCGTATTTTACCTCTAGGATCCCCCCCGTTCCCCCCCCACACACCCCAACCCCCATGAAGGCTCTGAGGAGGGTGGACGCTCCCAGAGCCGTCTCCTGTCCTCACAAAGCAGATCCAGCAAGTTATTTCCTTTGTAAGCCCTCTGTATATGTGTGTGTGTTCCCAGCGCTTCATCAAGAACAGATTTCCCACTGACATCAGTATTTCTGCTGTTTTAGGTGACTGGGAAACAGCAGCATCTCCACAACGTGATACCTGGCTTTGTTACATTAACAGTTACAAAGCATGGAAGATCCAGTTTATCACAGCATGGTGGAATCTATTTGTCCCAGCATAGTGCACAAATTCCTCCTTTGCCTCTGAACGTTTCTATTTTCACATTACCTGACATAGACTGAGAGAATCGAGGCATGTTTTAAAGCAAAGTTTTTCTACGCTGGCATCTGATCCGAGCTACCTTAGAGGAGCATCCTGCCTGCATGGACAGGGCAACATTTGCCTGTTCCACCGCCTTTTTTCGTGACTACAGCAGTTCAGCTCAGGGCACATTCACCACAGGACACGTTGACTTCATTGATAAAATCGAATCGTTCACTTATTCGGACTTTTTTCGGGATTATTTGATTCCCAACCAGCCCTGTGTTTTCTCAGAAAAGTTCACTGATGGCTGGAGCAGCAGGAGGAATTGGGTAACTTGGGGTGGGAAGCCTGATTTCGATCATCTGCTGCAGGAGTTTGGTAAGTCGTGGCATTTTTAATACCTCATTGAAATGAAGGTAAATGGAATGAAGGTAAATGGAAACAAAATTTGTTTTGTTCATTTAAAAATTGAACCACTGGGCAAAACAAAATGATTCTACAAACTTTGTTTCAAAGTTAATGCATCCATTTTCTATACTTTCTGTTTCACTCAGATTCTAACCTTGAATTTATATCCTTAATGAAATAAAAAGTTTTATTAATTTATAGAGTCCTAGAGTCATTTAAGTTGGAAGGGATCTTTAAGGGCCATCTGGTCTAACTGCCCTGCAATAAACAAGGACATATACAGGTTGATCTGGGTGCTCATAGCCCTGTCCATATCCACACTAATTTGTATACCTGCCTGAATTAACTGTGTGAATAGCCCGGCATGTACTGAATGGACAAAAGAAAGCATTATCCATTTATAGTGAAAAATCTCAGAACAAGTCATTAGTCTGTAAGCTACTGATTTATTTAACGTGTATCAATTCTAAGTAGTGCAGTTTATTAAGAAGAAACTGAAGATCACTTGAAGGCAGTAAATGATCTGAATCATATTTGCCTAGAACCAGGAGTGAGTGCAGTGCAAGCAATTGTTGCTTTATGAATTTGGGCTGTACTTAGCATGACAGTGTCCAGGCCTTAGAGGTTTCTACAGTGGAGAAAATTAAAGGAGTTCAATTTCAGCACCACAGAATCATTGTGGTTGGAAAGACCTGTAAGATCATCTAATCCAACTGTTCACCGACCACAAGTATGTATTGCCCATTCAACCAAATTGTCCCAATTGTCCCAAATCAGTTATTCTGTTCACCAGTATTTCTGTTCCCGCTTGAGTTCAAAGAGTTTGTATTTCAGGAGAGGCTATAGTACCTGTGGCCAACTGTGATGTCAAGGAGTACAATTCTAATCCAAAAGAGCAGCTCCCCCTCAAGGAGTATATAAGTTACTGGAAAGAGTACATTAAAAATGGCTACCGTTCATCTCGAGGGTGCCTTTATCTGAAGGACTGGCACCTGAGCAGGTAAGAGAGCACTGTGAAAACCCCTGCATGCCATACACAACAGCGAGCCTTAACACTTGTCTTTTTATTGCTCAAGTGTTCAAATGCTGACAGTGCTGTTTGTTAGCTCCTGGCTGCTGAAATGTCAGTCCTGTACTGCACTGTTCTTGAGTGCTGTATACATTGAGTCTTAAAGAGATCACTGTTTCCTGGAGGAGCTCACATTCTCCAGCACTTGCCTTTCCATTTGTCTTTTAAATGAGCGTAAGCCCTGCAGGAATGATGTGCCTGTACATTTGTCTTTTGTTTATTACTTCTTAAAAAGAAGGGTATAATCCTTTAGTATCCATTTTGTTTTCTGCTAACCTTCCCAGTCATTAAATCTCTTCAGCTTGTACAGGCTTTCCTTTTGCCCTGCTGCTTGTGAGATGCTTGCATTGTCCATGCTTGGCAAGGACTATTATATCTTTTCACCTAAAACTTCCTCCTTAAATGTGTCCTGTTTCTAATCCAACTTCTTTGTTTTCAGTTCTGTTTTTCACTTTTGAATGTCCTGTGACTTCTAATAGAAGAAATTAGTCAGTGTCCACCTCCCCTTTTCTGTTCACTTAACACAGGCTCCAGGGCTGTGGCTTGCTTCAGAAAATCTGCATGTATGGCTTTGGTGGGAAAAGGGCAGCATGTACTGTGAGGCCAGACACTTGTTAAAATTCTACAGCCTGGCTTCCCTCCTAGCCCTCATATCCTCAATCTGTCATCTGGTTTGACAACCAGTCTTGCAGCCATCTCATCTAAAGAGAATGTGTTTATTAGGGTCTGTCTTTGCCATAATTAGGATTCTCCTAAGTAGCTAACCTTCACAGCTTTCCTGGGAGGCAGAAAAGCACACACTGTAAATGGAGCTTGGAGTTGTAAATGAAATAAGGGAGAAGGAAACAAAGTATTAATGGCCTGGGAGAGACCTAATAGATCTCTGCTTCTAGATTTTGGGAATTTAGGTCCAATATGTTATATCCTCCTAGTCCAATATGTTATCTTTTTAAGAGCTTTCCCAGAGCAAGATGTTTATACAACTCCTGTGTATTTCTCATCTGACTGGCTGAATGAATATTGGGATGCTATAGCTGTGGATGATTACCGGTTTGTCTACATGGGACCTAAAGGTTCATGGTAAGACAGCTTGATTTCTGTCATCTTTACATACATCTTTTTTTTAAAGGGTGTTATCACACTGTATTTAAGGATATCATTTTGCTGCAGAAGAATCATAGAATCATAGAATGGCCTGGGTTGAAAAGGACCACAGTGATCATCTAGTTTCAGCCCCCCTGCTGTGTGCAGGGTCACCAAGCAGCAGCCCAGGCTGCCCACAGCCACATCCAGCCTGGCCTTGAATGCCTGCAGGGATGGGGCATCCACAACCTCCTTGGGCAACCTGTGCCAGTGCCTCACCACCCTCTGGATGAAAAACTTCCTCTTCATATCTAACCTAAACCTCCCCTGTCTAACTTTAAAACCATTCCCCTTGAAAAAAATGCAGCCATACTGCACAATGCTGTACCTGAACCCAGCAGTCTTGATTCTCAAGCAGATGATTAGTTTCTGGATGTGATCTGTCCTTACTCTGTCAGCTCAGGTGTTTTTGCACTGCAGAATGCTCTTGTGATTTGCAGAGCCAGCAGAAGCCTTGGAGGGGCGCTAATGAGTTGGTCAGGCATTTTGCAGGTGAAAGATTAAGTTGAGCTTTGGTGGTACTTCCAGTATTCCCAGCAGTTCACATCACAGGATCTGCTATTGTTGAGAAACTTATATGACAGATTCAAAATTAAATGATGGAGAACTACGGAGGATATAAAACACTGCAGTACTGTAGTATGTTGATACAGTGGTCTCTTAGTACTTAAAACAGTTAAGATTAAATAAAGAAGACAGTTTGAGATCAGTTTTCCACGGTAAAGGTCGACTTTTATGTGTTCTTGCAGACGTGAATTTAGGCACTGTCTTTACTTAAACTTCTGATTTGTCCCACAGGACTCCATTCCATGCTGATGTCTTCCGTTCCTATAGCTGGTCAGCTAATATATGTGGAAGAAAGAAATGGCTGCTCTACCCCCCAGGGCAGGAGGATTATCTGAAAGACTGTCATGGCAACTTGCCCTTCGATGTGACTGCACCTGATCTTCAGGACAGGAGTGTCTACCCTCGCTACAACCAAAGCCAACCCCCTGTGGAAATTGTGCAGGAAGCAGGGGAGATAGTTTTCATCCCCAGTGGATGGCATCATCAAGTTTACAACCTGGTAAAATAACCAGTGCCAGCATTTTCATAACACAGAGAGATAATCAGGCTTGAATCAGAACAAACTTTAATTGCCACAGCATTTTGTGGATGCTAAAAGTCTGGGCTACCCAAATTTTTTAGAGAGATTCATAGAAGAAAAGTCTCTCAGTGACTACTCAAGATGATGGCTAATAGCAGCCTTGAACTCAGAATCTCTGTCACTGTCTGCTAGAAAATAGGGAAGCATAGAAATGGAAGATGTTGTCTGCACTCTGTTTTCTTATGCACTTCCTATTAGGTGCCGTTAGACATTGAGAAACAGGATACTATTAATATAAATCTCAGGTTCTAATTGTGAATTGACTGTTGAATTGTGATGACTGTTGGAAAACACTAAAACATTTGTCTTCATGATTGTAAACCAAAAATAACAACCTTGTTCCCTACCTCCCCCACACCACCAACCCCAACCCCCACATCTTTGCCTCCGTGAAAGGCTTGCTCAGACACAAGAGCTACAGACACTTTCCCATTCAAAGATTGAAACAATTTTTTTCAGGGACACTTGAAAGCAACAGCCTTTCAGCACAGTGATGGTATTGGTGCCAAAGAAGCATTTCCCTTGTTGAGGGACACGATTTTACATTTTGCAGCAGTGATGTTACAGCTGTTCTCTCACATTTTCCTACGTAGAGATTAATAACTCTTTAAACTGTTCCCACAGGAGGATACCATTTCTATTAACCACAACTGGGTGAATGGCTGCAACGTAGCTATAATGTGGTGCTTCCTGCAGGATGAATTAGCAGCTGTCCAGAGAGAAATCAATGAATGGAAGGACCCCATGGATGACTGGCACCTACAATGTCAGGTATAACAATATATTGCTGACTGCCTGACTCTTCACTAGAGGGTCAGGTATTTCAGGGGCACATTGCAACACCTTATTAGAGCTCTGAGACACACAGTCTTTAACCTCATACCTGGAATGAGGATATGATTCCTAAGCATACAGCAACTGGTGACAACTTTGTTTCTTGGGAAACAAAGTATTACTTCAGTATGATAGGGAAAAGCTTGTGTCAGTGCATATTTGCTATGTCAAGGAGATTAGGATGTTGTCTGAAAACTAATGCTTCAGCAGCTCTTCTTCAATTATTATAGAATCCTAGAATGGCTTGGGTTGGAAAGGACCATAATGATCATTTTGTTTCAACCCCCCTCCTATGTGCAGGGTCACCAACCTCCAGACCAGGCTGCCCAGAGCCACAGCCAAGGTTAACCTACCAAGGTCAGCATTGATGTGATCAATCAGTAGTAGTTACTGTCCCCTTTTAAAAATATAGGTGCTTTTCCACTTAAAGAACAGAAAGTAGAAGACTCTTACACAGGAGAACTGGTTTCAATATCATTTGTGATGGAACAGCAAATCCAAAACCAGAAAAATTAAGGTGAAAGTGTCAGCCAGTTTGTGTCTCCAAAGATGATGCTTTCAGAAGGTGTAATTAATGAGCAGTGTTGTATCTGGTATGTTCCCAAAGTCTTAAGTGTGAAGCAGATATAAAGTTTATTTCTAGAGGCTGTTACTGCTGCTAGATTGATACCTTCCAAAAACAGTTTATAAAAACACAGCCATTTAGTAGCTCATAGAAACAGTGTGTTGTTCTGGGGGCTAGTGAAGTTTCAGGTCAGGTAAGGAATTTGAGTGCCATCAAGGAACTGCAACAAATAATGAGCTATTAAACATGGTTACTTGTAATCAGTAGTTAGTAGCTTGATAAAATCAGTCCCTGTAATTCTCACTGTACATGAAAAAGTTGCTTCCATTTCAGTATTGTTTTTTCCCCTAGCTGATCATGAAATCTTGCACCGGCATAGACTACAAGGAGTTCTACAATTTCCTCAAAGTTATTGCAGAGAACAGGATTTCTATCTTGGAAAACGGCCTCGATGATGAAGCTTCAGCAAAGAACACTCCAAAAGCTGCCATTTCCACCTTGGGTATGCTCCATGCAGTGTTTGATTTAAAGAGGACTGTGAAGGTGTTAACATCTTTGAGTGCTAATGAAGATTTCAAGAAGCTAGACCTGACGTCGCTTTCTCCACCTCCGGAGGCATTGCTCCATCACTTGAAAGCAGCAATAGACACAGCACTCCTCTAACTTCCTACCTATTCTCTTATTTGTAAAATGAACCTTTGGGTAAATTGGGTGTTTGTAGAAGAATGACTCCTCCCTGTTTAATAGCTGTTGCAATTCATGTACAAAGAGCCTTCCTATAGAGTGGGGAGAGAGTATATTCCTAAGATGACTGAATAGTTTTTAAATTTACAGCATTTGAGTATCTGGAATAATTAGGAATAAAACTCTTAGGTAACGGGGGGGGAGGGGGGGGGGGGGAAAGCATTGTACTCTGATAAATGAAGGCCTGCTGATGAGTTTGAATTCAGGGAAAGAGGAACAGAAATTCTCTGTGGAAGAGCTTACATGTGGCAGAGCTAAACACTGGGACTGCAGTGATCTGCAGCATACTGCTTCTGCTCAAAGCACTGTATGCAGACAGCCAACCTGCACTGCAGGCTCCAGCTAAATCATTGTAGATCACAGCTAAATCACTTTAAGACCTGTCCTGTTTCCAGCTGTAGCTTAGACTTTTTATTGCTTCCCCTGAAGCCTAAGCTGTCTCAACAGCTATAGCTTGGATATGGAAAAGCTGACTACTGGTTTCTTACACAGTGGTATCTCTAAAGCTAAAAGTCTCAGGTATGCTTGGCTTTCAGGTTGCTCCAGGGCCTGCAGGACTAAATTTAACATACAAGGAAGATGAAGTCCTGCTAGCAACTCTATCATTAATAATTTAACAATGTGAACCACTCAAGCTCAAAAGAGGCTTGAATGTACTCCCTCATTTCTACACACTATTTCAAGGCACAATATTTTATCAAGCAGAGAGACTTGATGAGTCAGGGAAGCTAGCAAGTAACCTTGTACTATTTATCTCCTTAAAAAGCCATGCTTTTAACAACAAATAGCACTACTGCATGGTTACAGAGCACAGTTTGCTACTGAATGCTACCCTTGTGCTAAAGAGCATTTCTAGTGAAGTATTCCTCTTGCTTTTACTGGTTGGCAAGAAAGCCTAGAAGCACAAATGGCTGCATACTGTTACCTTACGTTGCCCCTTTAGGGCTCACTTGAATTATTGATCAAGAACTTCCTGAATTTTTAAAGAGAGTTGGTCTTAAGAGCAACAAATAAACTTAGTAGGAGTCATCAATAGGCTGAAAAATCTCCTTATTTTCTAGATAATCCTGTGGACTTTGTACATGCATGCATTTTGCATGTCCTATTTTGTAGTAAGTAGAAGTTCAGCATTTTGAGTAGGAAATGGTACTTGAAAACAAAATCAATATCCAAAGCATGGAAAAAATGCAGTATAGAGAAAACAGACTTTTTAAAATACAGTTGTGACTACATATCTGTGATTCAGCCTTCTGGCACAGTGTTTATTTGAACTGAGAAATAGCCAGTTTTAGGCAACTGAAATGAAAAAGTTCACAGCTGTCACTTCTGTGTGTTTACATTCTCAAAGACAAGGAGCTGGAACTTCTCCATATAAGAGTGAGATCTCAAAGATAAACAGTATTTTAAAGCTGGTGATCAGTGTACTGGTAGGAAAGCATGGTTTTGGTCTCGTGTTCCCCAGTCTCACAGCATGCTATGTAACTGGTATTGGCACCAACCACTTTAAACCCATGGAATCCACTGCAAGGTTTTGCTTAGCTGAATGTTGCCTTTCATTTCATGTCAATGCAAGTCAAGCTTTTACACTGAAACCACTATCTCAGCATATCAGAAGATAGGACAACGTGGTAGGGTAGCTAAGAGGTGTTGAAATGAAGGAAGGTGAGTCACTGCCACTCACTCACTTTCTTTTCCCTTGCACTGTCTCAGCAACACAGCATCTTGAGACCTGAAGACATGGTGACAGCTCTCCTTTGTAATGCCTGCTAAGGCTTAGCGAGCTCAGTGTGAGACAGTGAGGAAAAAGAGTTTAATTGCAGCCAATTAGCCTGAAGTTTAAGCTACATTCTCCATACTGATTCTGCAGGGAAAAGGGTTTATTGGTTCAGTCTCTCTTACTAATTTGCAGTTCAAATTCTTCCATCCCCATGAATAATGAAGGCAGTAAGAGAGCCATAGATCTTTGAAAGTTAAAAAGAAATAAATAAAGGACATTCTCACAAGAATCTGAAGACAGCAATGAGGTTGAAATAAGAAAGTATGCAAGCCTGGAATCTCTCAAAAATGAAACAGTTTTATTTAAATACAGTTACTGTAAAACATACATTATGATACTCTTACACCAATATATTAACTGTTGTAACCAGTGTACTATTTATTAAAGCATAATACTTATGACAAACAGGAAGAAACAGTCTGTAGAGTTTTGATTTGTTTTCCCGAAGTCACAGACCTGGACAATTTAAAAGTCAAAAAGGAAAGGTAAAAAAAATGCATGTTAAAATCTAGTTCAAAAGAGCTTTAGCTCTAACATACAATTCACACATTAGTACTTTCATCTGAGAGTAACAGCATATCAGAAATCCCTTTACCTTTTTTAAAGGCAGAATAAAAACTAGCCCAATTCTAATCTGATTGTGCCCCGCTGGTGCCAGTGGGAGTTCAGTCAGCACAAGGCTGTGCATCTAGGAAAACTAATGCTTTTGCAGCTCTGTCAGTGCAGGAGGCCAAATGTTTTTATGTGTTCTCTCACCAATATTTGAGATCTCTTAGCCTTTAGGGACACACAAGCCCCTGCAGAATTAGAAAGCAGCACCAGCATTTTCAAGGTGTGAGCGTGATATCCCTGAGATTTAATAAGAGTCTGCAAAGTATAAATTTACATTTAGAATTATCTTCAAACAGAGAAGTTAGTCAGTAGCAGCATTACGGCGCAATGGAGAGGTACAGAATTTGGCAAAGGGAAGAAGAGGAAAGATCTTCCTCCTAGGGATGCAAGAAGAGCCACCTCACTCCAGGAACAGTTTGTTTAGGAGTACAGAGATAGTCTCTCTTATCCATCCCACATTTCTACCATCCAGGGGTCTTATTGCGATGACTATTCAGGCTTTATTTAGTAGGAAGTGGTCAAATGATCTCCTTTTATGTCTGTTTACCAGTACAAAACAAGCACAGCAACTGAGAAAACAGCTAAATGGAGTTTCAAGGGAAAGAGGTGTATTGCTGTTCTGAGGAAAGTGAAATCAACAAGGGCAAAAGAAACCTCCTCCACTTTCCAACACAAGCTGAGGTTGCATAGAAGGCTTTCAGCTCACAGCACTTCAATGTCTGTGCTTGATAATTGTACACAGTCTAACAGAAAACCCAGCAAGAACCCCTCATCTGAGAAATAACTGTCCTTTCTTAAAGGCAGCTGGAGCAGCAGTGATTGGATTGCTTCTTCATCCAACAGTGTTCGGTCAAAGCATGGCAGGGAGGAGCCTCCCTGCTGGTTCTAGGGCTCAGGAGGTGTGAACCACATGGCAGTTCTCTCTTTGGTGGAGTCTCATCTTCTGTATGTGTTCATAGCACGACTGAGCAAGGAAGAGAGCAACCCATTAAGGAAAAGTTTTGGAGCTTTGGAGCCAAGTTTTTGTCTCTTACACAGAGTGAAGCTACAGTGCCCCCCAAGGCAAGATAAAAGATTAAGTCCACATATTATAAATTAATGATAAAAATACTCTCTTGACTGGAAGGAAAAATAACCTGTGCTAGGCATATAAGCAGCCCTCTAAAATTAAATGAGAGTTGAGAGCATCAGCGTTTCTGCCATTCAAGAAGGGCTTCCCTACAGCACCTTGTAACTGCTGCTGTTAAAACTCATTTTCTTACCTCCAATGCTGTTAATAGAAAGTCGTACAATCCTCCTTGATTGGTGGGGTCCATCAAGTCTCTGATCAGATGGATTTCAGCTCCCAGGTGCTGTATTCTGAAAAGAAAAGAAACACCACAACTAGAGCATATCTCTGGGCACCAGCACTTACAGACACGTGTCTGAAATCTGATTATGGAGAGACAGATCTGGAAGTCCATTGCTCATCCCTTGTGCAGCACCTTGATCTTCCAAAAGCTGAGTCCCCGAAATATTCTGGCATGACAGGATCTCAGCAAAGATGCCCAGTCATTAGAAAATGTCAGGTCCTCCATTTTGTGCACTCAGTCTCTTCCTCTCCTCCGTCATCTACAATCAAGAAAGCTGCCTAGCATACAAACCTGGATCACCCTACGGAACTGTAGCAAAAGAGAGAAAAAAAAGCTTCTGGGTTTCAAGATTCAGCTCCAAGTTTAAACATTTCACCCTTTTTTTGGGCACCAAGAACATCCAAGTCAGTCAAGGACTTGGACTCAAACTTGCCAGAATAAAGAAAGTGCAGTTTCACTCTACTGGATGTAAGCAGGTTCCTGCAGTTCCAGTAAAAGCAGCACAGACACAGCCTCTTTGGCAGAAATCTTATATTTACAGTCATTCCAACATGAGAAAAACCTAATTACTGGATGGTCAGTATTCAAGACTTTTCTAGTCTCCAAACTGAACCACAGTGCCACACTGAGAACAGAAAAGTGAAAAGATTTCTCACAAGTTTATGAGGACAGGGAGTAGTAAACCCTTATCCGTTCACTCTCAAAATATAACACCAACTAACCCATCAGCCTTTCTACAGCTCTTTCAAACCTCTTGAAAAAGAAATTAATAGGACTAACATCTGCAGGAGGGGTGGCAAGGTAAGCAGAGCACATTGCTTGCACATTTGCACTGCAATGGAGGTGATCAGACTTCTTCCTTCTGAAGATCTGTTCTTCCTTCACATCTCTCTCTCAACCCAGTGTGCAGATAATTCCTGTGATGGCCTCAACAGTTGGCCTTCAAAGACTTCATATTCCTATTTTTTGTATAATAACCTTGGATGCCAGTCAGACTGTATTTCTTATGACAGCCCTGAACCATTCTCTTGGACAAGAGATGGACACCCAGGAAATCCCTAACCATGTTATATCATGACCAACACTACTAGACCTTTGGTCAGACTGTACGACGCAAGAACCCAAATGCATCTCAGCAGAATGCACATTAAAAGACAACCCCCAACTTTTTCATTCATGTTATTTTGCTTGGAATGTAGAGATGCCCTTTCTTGGATTGAGTCAGTACACAGCCATGGGACTGAGAAGTGAAAAGCAGCACTTACTTAGCTCGTGATACAACATACATCAGGAGGGGCAAGAGGTCATCCATAGGGAGCTTGTAGTCTTTCTCCACCACTCGGGACACAGTGCTCTCTATCTCCTCATATGTCTTCTGGAGGATCAGCAGCTTTTCCCGGGGATCCACTGTGGTGCTATCAGTGCAAAAACAGCTGTGTCAAAGATGTTTTCATACACAGGTCAAGAGATAAAGCAGTAGCACTTAACAACATAAAAAAAAAAAAGACACCAAGCAGTCCTTCCCACTACAGAAAAGAATACAGTGATCATCTCAAATGGCTGCACCAAGAAAAAAAAAAAATACAGCAAGGTGGTACCAGGAGGCATCAACAGGGTCCAGGTGAACCTCGAGTCTTCCCAAGTCATGAGCACCCTAATGCCACCTTTCATTTTACCTGAGTCACTCAAGTAAAACTTTAGGGTGTGGACTGAATCTCTTTGGGCAACTCTATCAAGAAAACTGTTCTTGCAAGGGAATAATACAGGCAACACATTTACAAGGTTGCTCACTACATCCTGAAAGGTATATGCTGACCATGCTGCTTTCCCCAGTGGAAGCCAAGTCACCATGGCTTTCATGACCAGGCTCTAACCACAGCTAGAATACATAAGGACCTGAGAATTTCCATCCGATGTCACTCTCCACACTTTCCTGTACCATTTTATCTTCATTCCCATGTGTTGCTGCAGCACTATTCCCTAAACTGGGCCCTCAAGCCAATAAATCAAGCAGAGCTCCTTAAATCAATCTCTGCTTTTCTAACTTCAACATCTTGGAACACCATACTGGCCAGATATCCCTCACACAGCACCATCCATGTGCCCAGAGCAAGAGGTTCTATCATGATCTGGAAAATTTCTATGGAAGAAAGAAAGAGAGTGAGAAGTTAAAGATGGTGACTTACATCAACTTCTGCAAACACTCCGTGGCAGATAAGAAACACTTGTCTTTGATCAGGGACCGCCTCTGCAAAAGAGACAAAGAGTTGTGCCTGTGTCAGAGCATCTCTCCAAGAGCCACCCCATGCCTCCTCAGTGCTGGACATATTTACTGCCCAAAGAGGGCAAAATAAAGTTGTTTTATACAGTGTCACTGCTGAGAATTGGAACTGTAGACATTTAAGTGTGTTCCAACTCAGATGTCTTCGAAATAGCCACTAAGCAGAACACTACAAAGCAATCCTATGCAGAATGGATATTCTCACCCAGGGCTATTGATATGCAGTAGTTGTAAATCATAACTAAATCATCACACATCAGCTCGCTATGATTTCTGAGTGCAGGACAGGGCCTTTGTGCTTACTTAGGTGAAGCTCTATCATTGGCTGGCACCAACATGTAGCTCCACATCATCTCACTAACATGCTGAATTTTGCTTTTAGGGCTACTTCTTACCTGGTTGGTTGTCAAGGTGAGGTCTTTAAGAGGCCAGAGGTGTCTGAAATAAGATTACAGAAATGAAAGGTATAGAAGGCAGATACCTATGTCTCAACTCCATTCTCAGTCAGTCTTCATTGTTAATATCTTCCCATTGAAAGCCTTACAGGTGCAATATGTTGAGTTCTCTACTCTCAACCACATGGCTACAGAAAAAAATAATAGCTCAGACTCACTGACCTCAACGGAGGGTTGATTTTATTTAGATGGAAGCCTAGGAAAGACTTCAGTGCCAAAGCTAACAATGGATCAAGAAACTAATACATTAGTTTTGCTATACATTCGTTCCTTTAGTGCCATCAGAGCTTACCCTAGCTGTTAGCTTCACTGCTG